CAAAAATAAAACTGATAGTGATAGTTACAATTTTACTAGAGATATTAATAAAAAGCTTGGTTAAAATATAAATAGTCAAATATATATATATAAATAGATCAACTTGAAAAAAGAATAATTTATAGAAGATAGCTTAAAGAGAAAACCTGGTTTCTCTGGGCAAGGTTATCAAATATTATTAAAACAAAGAATATAAAATTGAAGTCAAGGTACATACTAATATCAAGAAAAATAATATAGCAGATAAGTTGATCAAAAAAGTACTAAACCTTTCAACAAACTAGTAAAAGGATCTTAAATCTGATATGATTATTATAGAAAAGAAATGATAGGATATAATATTGAATAGTCCTATAAGATAATTTATAAAAAGGATAAATAACAAAACAATAACATACTATTGATCACAACAAAACTAAATTAGGGACAAATAGAATCTTCAAATAAAATATCAATAGAATTATTTATAAATAAAAATATGTATCTAAAGAAAAAAAAGTCAAATGTCCTTTGTTAGAAACATTAAAATTTTTAAATTAATAACTATAAAAAAACTATCCACAATTGTTCTCCATTATTTAAATTATTGATTTATAACATTTTCTAACTTTGTCTCTATTAAAGTAAAGAGCTATGAATTTTGTTCCTCAAAAAGGAACATAAGTGATCTGCAAAATTTTATATGCTAAATACATTAGGGGTCCATCATTATTAATGAAACTTAGTATAGAAAAGATTAAAGAAGAAATATATATGGGACATCTTCTTTAACAGCTCACAGAAAAAAAGTTTTTTGGTTAAGTTAATCAATAATAAACTAACTATTTACAATAATCAAACTAATAATAAGAAAATCAGATCTATATAAAAAATATGACTGTTTGACATATGAAAAACAGGAGAAAACAATAAAATATCTTATAGAATGTTCAAAATATAAAAATAAAATAAAAGCCTGGTCAAGAAGAATAAAAGTAATATATTAATAATTTAATAAAAAAAGATAAAAATGAAAAGATCAAGCCTAGAAAAATATAATAACACCTCAATAATTAATAGAAAGAAACAAGAGAAATAGAAGTATAGTTAACAAAGCTTATAAAAAAGATATTCAAAAAAAGTAAAGGCTTGATCAGTTTTCTCTCAAGGCTGATAAAAAAAGACTTGTTAATAAAAGTTGGAGAACTAGAATATGAAAGAAAAAAGATAGAAACAGTAGCTAGAAAATGAATACTTTATTATTAAAAAAAGGTTTGAACTATTTCAAAAAAGAAGTATGAAATAAATAATATAAACAAGTAATAAAATAGAAAAAAGCTTAAGAAATTTTTTGGAAAAAACAAAATAAAAAAACTTATAAAGTTTTATTTAGTAAGAAAAACAAGAAGTTCAAAAGGGAAAAGAAAGAAAACTAAAAAAAAATGCCTAGAAAAAGATTTAACTATCATAATAATGATAGGAGTTAAAAGTGATATAAAATAGTTAAGCTTTAGGTTTGATCAGAACTTTGGTCAATGATCTGTAGATAATGATGTTTATAGTAGAAGAATACTAATCCAAACTATAAACAGAGTGCCAAATCACTTTCAAAGTTATACTTAGAGTTTGAAAATAAACCAAGATAAGTGAATTAGTTGATATTTTAGCTTTAGTAATATTATAAATAGTATAGTTTACTTTATATTTAATAAAATACATACTGTATAACTAACCTAATATCAGATTAAAAAAAAAAATATATATATATATATGTATGTTTTAACCTGTAATAATTTTACTATAGCATAACAAAAAAAAAAAACTCTTTCCATTAATCTTCTGTTTATATACAAAAAAATGTTTACAAGAAATTTATTATTTTTTTTGATAATAAAATCTCAATACTATTCCTAAACCAATTTGAAGTTTTATTTCAAAAAATACTTTAAATCATCATTTCTTATTTATATTTATCCTTAAACAAAAACTTGACTTCCTGTAATCTAGAAAAGTTAAAAAATACCTTTTCTATCTATGGCAAAAAAGTTTTGCAAAGAAAAAGAACTAATTGTATAATACTTAAAACCTTTTATATTAAAGCATATTTATAGAGGTTTTGTACAATAAAAAGTAATAAACATCAAACTATATTTTCAAAGTATCTGCTCACTATTTCTTTTCTCTTATAGTTATTTAAAATTTTTTGGTTTTCTGGAAAATTTTGCCTACTTCAATTTGATCCTAAATTTTAAGTAACATAATTTATTGCAAAATATGATTGATAGTCATAAAATACATGAATAATTGAATATAAACAAGTCTCTACTAATTATCTCATATGTTCTAATAATATCATTAATAATAGAAAGAATTGATTGGTACCTTGTGTTTGTCTTATTTTTTTAATTGAATTAACCTATAGATCAGATTCTATAAGGCTAATAAGATATAAGCACCAAGTCCCCAGGTGATAAAAAAGCTATTATTCATTCAAGCTAAGGTCTTTCTCTTTTATTATTCCAGTCAGGCAAAGTTCAAGACCAAAGTTTCCTTTTCATCCTGATCAAGCAATAAGACTGAATAGTCTCTAAGCTATGCTAAGTTTTAATTTTTTAGTTATAATTGAAAATATATTTCTCTAGAAATTGTTAAAGGATATCATAATTGACAAGGATCATCATCACTTTTTGAAACCCTTATACTATTACAAAGCAAAAGAATTGTTAGAAAATCCAATCTTTTGAATAATAAAAGATGTATATAAATAAAATTCTTTTAACTAGGTATAACTACTGGAAGGTATTATATTGAAATAATATGATTCAGTCTCTACTGAATCACATAAGAACCTGTGATCTATTATAAGTCACCTCTCTACCATAGATATAAAAAATCATTGTTCAAAAAAGATTGGGATTAAGTATATCCTGAAAGTAAAGACTTTCACTATATAATAAGTTTTCTCAAATAATATATAAGAAGGAAATCAAGATCAAGAATAGATAAGTTTTTTAGATAGCTAGAAGAAAAAAAGATATTTCAATTAGATATTTCTTATTAAGAAGAACTCTTAAAAAACAAGTTTTTAAAGAAAGCTGGAAAATTTTTTTCAATTTTTACTCTTTTTTTTTTTTGTTATTTACTTAGACATTTTTAAATATTTTTTTTTTTTTTTCAATACATTTTTTTATAGTTTCCTGTATTCCAGTAGCTTGATATAACATATAGTAATAACAACCTGCTAGCCATGATACAGTGGACTAGGAAGGTCTTTATCCAAAAACATTGTTAAGCAAAATATTGTTCTTAAGAATGAGTTTAAAGACTTTTATGATTATAACAAGTTAGTTAAATTAGAATAATAATTTAGCTATAGTATGTATCATGCTACTCAAATGAAAATGTACTTTTGTTTTCAATTGATTAATAAATTAACAATCTAGCCTGACTATAAATACTCAAAAAAAAATTTTTTTTTACTATAGCATGTCTTTATTGAAATACTAAAAAATACTAAAACAGTTTATAGACTATTCACAAAGCAACTTGTTATTGTACATTATTAGTTGAAAAACTATATTACTTAAAAAATATGAGAAATTTATTAAGCTAGTTCAGATTAAACAAAACTAAGTTTCAATCAAATACTTTAAATCAAGTTTAGGAAACAATATTATACTCCTCCAATAGTTTAATACTAAGATCACTAATTTATTAAGATTATTGTCAACAGTTTGTCATTATTGATTATCTTAAAAAACAATGAATTGGCACTGAAAAAGGAGAAAAGGAAATATAACTCAAAATCTTTTAAAAGATTTTTGCTCTATTTTAGAATTAATAAATATTCCACCTGGTTTAAGAATTATCGAATTTTAATAAGTTATCTTCTAAATTAGAAGGGAGAAAAGTATTTTAGTAAAAGCTATACGGTACGAAGTAATCCGATAACATAATTAAAATATTTATCGAAATATCATTTGCGCAAATTCATAAAATATAAATCTATTATTTAAAAAATCATTTATTATTTAAAAAAACCCTTATTTTTTTTTTTTTTATATATAATTAACAAGTTTCAAATATGAAATCTCAGTTAAATTTCTCTCATCAAACTTCAGCAATTACATTATTCGCATGACTACTAGATCCATCGACAACAAAAAAATCGGATATTTTTAAAGGCCGAATTTTTATTTTCTAATAAATAAATTGAAATTAGGACGAGACTTAGGACATTAATTGCAAAAGAAAAAGATTTTTTTTAGATGAATTCACCTCGGGATCAATATCCTTCAAATCTTCTTTTGTTGTAGCATGACTACGCATATATTCCCTAATAGGAATCATCGCCGCATTACGACAAGCCTCTTTAAGGTCACTTCCTAGATAAGACAATCTTCAGTTAAAAAATAATCCAATATATACCTATTATCTATCTAATTACCAGAAAAATTCGCGGTTTTAGATACTAATTCTGCAAAATCAAAACTTTCTTCCAGACTTTGGTCTCGAAGCATCTAAATACATATAATAAATAATTTAAAATAATTTCATTATCATATTAAACACAAATTATATATTATTTGACTTACAATCTCAAGAATATTTCTTCTTTGTTCCTCATCTGGAAGTCGAATTGCAAACCTCTTAGGCATGCGACGAAGAATAGCATAATCTGTGCAAGAAGAAATAGATTCAACATGACACAATTCTTGTAATTTAGAAGAATCGTAGTATTAAATACCAATGTCATTAGGTCTATTTGTAGCACCAAGTACCTAAAATTTTGACATTTGTAATTAGCACAAGTAAATTCGAAGGTTTTTCCAATAAAAAAAAAATTATTTCATACCACTATGCGAGTACTTTCATCTGTAGTAAGACCATCCCATAAACTATACCATTACGAGATATTTATTAATTTATTATTATAATTATAAATTCAGAATATTGTTAATACGCGAAAACAAAAAAAAAATGAAAAACAAAAATTGTAAATTATAAATTATTACCACTATTCACCTCATAAATTCGGCCTTCATCATACCAGTGACCTCATGATCGCTACTTCGTCTTTCCCTCAAGAAAGCGTCAATTTCATCAATGAAGATAATACACGGCTGCAATTTTTTAGCAACAGAAAAAACGGCAGCAACGAGCTTGTTTGATTCTCCAAACCATTTGTCTGTCAAAGTTGACACGTGAAGATTTATAAAGTTGGCGCCAGATTCCCGAGCGAGTGCCTTAGCGAGCATAGTCTTACCGCAACCTATTTTGATAATAATATTATTTGCTAGTACAATTAAAGAATAGTAAAAAATATTTATATACCAGGTGGGCCATGAAGCAATACTCCTTTTGAAACTCCCAATAACCCGGACGAAGAACTGAACAATTGTGGATAGCATAAAGGATAAATAACGGATTCTCGAAGAGACTGGATGATTGGATCGAGGCCTACGTAAATGAGTTCGTTAATTAAAACACCTTTAACAAGATAGAATTTTTATAGTTACCTCCAATTTCTGAAGTATGGAATTGAAAATAATTTAGTTTCATAATATTGAACATTGATGAAAATACACGTATAAAAAACCTACGTTCGAAATTCACAGAGATTTCGTCTGGAAATATTACTTCTGTTAAGATCACCTCTTCGTATTCGTTTAATTTTAAGTTCTTTGCCTGTGGAGAACAATAAAAGAATATCTAGAATAAAGTCAAAATAATTTGCGATCATGCTCATACATACTCCTAATTTTCCCAAAACTTCTTCACTCCTCGCTTTTGCTATTTTCTTCTTGTCTTTAAGCGGATCAAGTGAGCTAAGAATAAACTTCACGGCAAAATAAAGTGCAACTTGTGATAAGGCAAAAATGACCACTACGAATAAAAACCATGTTGTATATATTGAGCGCTGGGGATTAATAAAAGAATAAAGCACAAAAGTGAAGAGCTTCATTACCGTCAGCTACGTATTTTTTTGTATTTGGCGGGGCCATTATTTTAAGGAAAGAAAAAAGCTTTTTAGCACTTTTATTTTATTTCTAAATGATAATCTTATGTTATTTCTTATTTTTATTCGTTTATCAGAATATTAATTTTTTATTAATAGTTCAGGTAAAAATCCTTTCAATTACTTTTTTATTTTTTTTTTATATCCACAATTATGTCACTATGGCATGTCTTTATTGAGATACTAAAAAGATAAAATATTTTACAGACTTTTACAAAGTGACTAACTTATCATTGAATATTATTAGTTGAAGGATTACACTACTTAAAAAATATGAAAAGTTTATTAAATTAGTTCTAATTAAACAAGAGTAAGTCTTAACTAGGTACTTTTTTTTTTTTTTAAAAATAACCCTCTGTCAGATTAGTTAAGTGTGCTTTATTAAACCTTTGTAAACTATACATAAACATGTGTCGAAGCTATATCTCTAACTAACTCACTCGTCTTAGTTTTAGATTTCTATAAACTCTAAGTGCAACTTTGGAAGTAATTTATCGCTCCATTAGCTGTTCAGATAAATACCCTTCCAATCGCTAACATCATTGCCTGCAGCTCACTACTGCAGATCATCCGTCGATGTTCTGACAAGGATCAAAACCCAACCACTTCATACCACATTCTATTCTATTTGTTATGATCTTTATGAG